ACTAGTAAAAATATGTGTTAGGTAAAGTAAAAAGTATTATATGAAAGCAAGGCAACTGTAAGAAAGAGGGGAGGAATGAGACGAGATTGAGGCACAAGTCGCTTGAATGTATGAATCGTGTGACCGTATGACTGAGCTAATGAATAACCGTCGAGGGTATAAGATACGTGAGTATGTACAGAATGGAGTGCACAGGGACGAGAAAGTGACTAGTGCGTGAGGAACACGTAAAACGTGACTTTTACCGGAAGACTTTGGCTGTCAAAGTACTTTGCGGGAGTATTTGGCAGTGTTGCTAATCAACAGTCCGAGGCGTTTGATCAGATGAGTAATGCCAAGGACCACGCAAAACAGTAATGCAATAAAGCTTCCTCGAAGTGCCGGAAAAACAACATGGGGGGATTCCAGACGACTGACGGAAACACTGGTAATCTGATTTCTAATAAATGGCATTTGTCTGTGTAGCACGGGAATTTTCGAGGGCTTGGCTCAGCGGTGAAGGAAATTCTTTCACTTCCCTAGCAACCGGGAAATCCTCAGCAGCCAATCAATGATAAATTTGCATTTTTGGCGGGCATTAAAAAGTGATCGAATTTCTAAATGGTATGGCACCTCGTCATATTTTAAGAGTGATGACGTTCAGAACCAGGTAGCTGGTGCTCAATACATACTAAAGATATGATAGTTCGGAAAGCCTGAAATGGATGCTTCTGTCCGGAAAATTGCTTCGCTGATTATTCTTCAGGAGATAGAATAGGATTCGTCTTGAATGTCATATGTATGAAGACATTTTATGATGCAATCTGTTTCATCCCTTAACTGTAAACATATACCGAACTGTGCATGGGGGTAAGAGTGGGAATCATCAGTACTAAAGTTATGACCGTCAACAGAATGCTCACCGTTGATCAGAGCAACTGGAAAAGCTGCGCAGCTGGGAAAAAACTAACTCCAACTGATCAAAGTAAATTTGAAGAAACTGGAAACTACTAAAACTCGGCTTGGCTCAGTCGCGCAAAATGCACCCATTTTTGGGTTGCGGTTAGTTAC